TGATCAAACTTTTACAATACTGATCACAATATATGTATGTTAGAGAGTTATTCTAAATTAGGAATTTTGGACCAGAAATCTGGCCTAATTACAAGAGAAATAAGGAAATTTGTAAAATTATAAAAATGAGGAAATGGTTAAATTGAACAAGAAAGGGAAGAGTTTTTTCTCTCTGTAAAAGGAAAAGAAAAACGAAAGTTGGACTGCATCTATTCCACTGAGAACACAACCTTTTTCAACCTTTACAGACAACAACCCACTAAAATAACGGTCCTAAAAATATTCCACGATCACAAACTGAACAGCAAATGAAAAATAACTATCAGTAGATATTTAAAACATTTGACTTGGCTACAACTTGACTCCCAGCAACAAAGGTTGGTCCAGTTGGTAACTTGGTAAGTATCAATTTCTTATCTAAGGATGTGAATTTGGATTTCACTGTGGTGTGAGAATTTTTCGGTAAATAATCTGTAAGTATCTTTATAAGCGTTTTGAATCCAATTCACCCCAACTTAAAAATAACACAACAATTTGACTCTACATCATTTAATAGAATTAAATTAAAATAAATCCTCTAACAGAATCTATGCATAAAAAACAGAAAGAGTAAATAAATAATACACATACTGCAAACTAAAATGATACAGATGTCTCCCCTTTAAATCGTCCTTTACTTCCATTTCACTTTTCACTGTTGCAAAATCAATTCTCCATCGAGTTTGTATTACTTGCCTGATTTAAAGTTTTTGCCACATTGTATAGGGACAAAGAGTGGAAGATCTTTCCTCATTGAAGATGGTGCCCTTCCATGGATTGTGCAAAATGCAAACAACGAAGCCTCATCAGTCAGGCGTCATATTGAGCTTGCACTCTGTCACTTGGCGCAACATGGTAAGTACTGAGTAAACTCTATCTGTGAACTAGAAACTAAACTTTCTCTAGGGTACGGCCATAAGAGCCTCTGTTTGATGCATTCCAGAAATAAATGCAAGAGACATGATTAGTGGGGGTGCATTGTGGGAACTAGTTCGTATCTCCCGTGACTGTTCAAGAGAAGATATAAAGACTCTTGCACATCGAACACTACTCTCCAGCCCCACTTTCCAATCTGAAATGAGGCGTTTGCGGGTGAATTAATGAAGAATTCTGCAGAGTAAACCAAAGTGGGCTGAAAGATCCAAATACAAACAATACTCTGTAAGTATTCAGGCAGGAAAGCTTTGTTCAGTATTCTAGCTGAAATTCTTAACAAGCGTAAGTTCTTTTTTGTGGTTGATCCATCAATGAATGGCCATAATTTAATCAAGTCAATGTGGTGTTTCCGGTGCAGCGACGGGGATGTAAATTGATTTGTATATTAAATAAATAGAGGTAGTGACAGTTTTGAATTTCTTTTATGCAATAGCTCGTTGTCATTCATAGGAACATTAGTTTTTTATTGTGATGATTCGAATTGTTTTAACATAGTTCTGTTTTTTAAGAGAGTGGACCCCGTAAACATTTATTTTTTCATAACGAGAGTCCCTACCAAGCTGTGAAATTCAATGTATTATATAGTTATCACCTTTAATAATTTGGAATGACTTGGGATGGTATGACATAAAGGCATGTGCGCCTCACATATATGGGACTGTAAAGATAATGAAAAAAGTAGTCTTTTAGACAATATTATTCTGGGAAATTACACCCCATGCTTTGACATTTAACAAATTTTCGTTTAATACTCTGATCTTTTGTAATCTGACATTCTCCCAAAACTGTATATCCCTTTCATTGATAGAAACTGTACGATATCTGCGTTGTTATACATTGGGAGGTCAAAATAATATAAAAAGAAAAAAAAATGCCTTATATAGGTCCAATTTATTAAAATATAAAAAAATGTTTCTGAAATGAGTAATAAAAAACTCAAGTGAATATTTATTTACTATATATGAGAGTTTGCATCTGAATTTGATTGGTCCTGCCAAAATTTAATTATGCAGGCATAATATTACGATCGAAATAAAATGGGCAAAGATCAAAGTATAACGCTGGCTATCCTCACTATAACCTGAGCTGATTGTCTATTGTTAGTCTTTTAGTTGGTAATGATAGACTAACATCTTAACAGGTACTGTGAAGTGCAACAATAGCATGTCTACTCTGACAGCTGGTACTTAACCTTAGTAGTATAAGTTATAATAATTATAATATTACGGTCAATGTTGGGAGAAAAATTATCGATCAGAACAAAAAGCAAACCCATTTTAAAGGAAACATCGTTTTCAAATTAATTGCTTGCTATAACCTATGATATGCAGAACTTGGTTCCGTGCACATTATTTTGTCTTTACATGATATTTTTACGTGAAAAACCATGCTTATTTTATGCAGCCATGTATGTGCATCCCTCCATCACTATGCAGTGAAAAAAGAATCAGAAAAAAAAGAAACTCAAGGCCCGTGATATGCATATTTGATCAATCTAATGCGGAAAGTGAGCCTGATTTCACGTAGTTGTTATTATTTTTTATTAATTTCTTTTCCTTTGAGTTTATCACAAGTTTTAAAATAGTTATTGATAGAAAAAAAGAAGAAGGAAAAATCAAAGTCAGACACAGTTTCTTTTCTTTTTTTTGTCTCCATTAAGAACATTAAGAACAACTGGTTGATTGGCACCTCAACATGGTTAGCACCTATTTAGTAGTTAGGAATGCAATAATTAATAGATCACTATAGATGAATTCTCATACCTAGGCACTTACTTCTGTAATAGATACAAATTTATCAATTTTACTGTTTAATTATATTCGACAATGTGAACTGTGATGAAAATTTATAATTTTAGTTTAATAAACCGTTACAATCTCATTAAAGGAGATCATTTTGGAATGATAAATAAAATTTTAGAATTTATAATTCCAATATAGTAACTTATTTTATTTCTATTAATTAATTTATTTTGTTTAAATATAATGTCAATCATTACAAATAAAGTTATATTTATAATCGACTAGTTTTTTTACCACTCATTCAAAAGCGCATTATTTTTACTCCTGTCTGTCACTTTATTCTTTAAATAAAATTATTTATCTTATCCATATATCTATATATAAAAAGAATTTTTCTTTTTGTATCTGTTTACATTTATTTTTCAATTTTATTCTTAAAAAGTATTTTAAAATTAAAATAATTATTTTATCAATTTTATCCTTTAAATTTTTAAAATTGAATCTTTTTTAAACTTGATTATTTTTTAATTATAAAACTACCTACAAAATAAATACAAATTATTTACAGTTATGAAAATTATATATATTTAATTGTATAATAATAATAATTTTATTATTTTTTATTATAAAAGAAATTAATACACATATTTTCATTGGTTACTTTTTAAAGAAATTAAAATATAAAAAAATGTATCATTCCCTCAGTGTCAATTCAAAAGAAAAATACATTCTCGTAAGTTCCCTTGTATACTTCTTTTAACAAATGCTTAAAAAAATAATATTTGTATCTTATTTTTCTTTTTTCTATTTATTTACAGATAAAGAGAGAGGAAGGCACCTCTGAACAAATAAAAACAATGTCCTAAAAGAACTAAGAAAACAGCCCTAAAAGAAAAAGGTTTACGTGTTTCTTTCCTTAAAGAGAAAAAGGTGATTAAGAGGAGTAGAAAGAGTGAAGCATGGGTATGATTTTGGATGTAGACCAGAAGAGGAGCAACACAACTCAACAAGGACAAATAATTGGTTTAGATTAGACAAGCCAGCCTCTTCTAAAGTAGAGAACTCAGTTTAGGTGCATGGAATGTAATTTCAAAAACAATTTATTTACATTAGAAATATTGATCTAATTAACACTTAATATATATATATATATATATATATATATATATATAGAGAGAGAGAGAGAGAGAGAGAGAGAGAGAGAGAGAGAGAGAGAATAAAATTGGTATATTGATATAATATGATAAAAAGATATATAAAGAAAAAAGTATATAACAAATAAATAAAATTAAGGGTTGAAAATATTTTTAGTTTCTAAAATTTAATTTAAAATTAAAATTTGTATTTTTTTTTAAGTTATAGGTATAATCTTTCTAACTTCATTGCATTAAAAATTTTTTGGTTTATCAAGAGACGATTTAGTTTTAACATATTTTAGTTCAAATGTTAATATAAAATGTTGTTTAATAAATAAAAAAGTTAATTATTTTTAAAATTTAAAAATTAAAAATATTAACATTTTGAACAAAAATAAACTCTAATTTTAGGTGTAAGCTTAAAAACTTAAATCATATTTAATAGTAAAATTAACATGTATATCTATTATTCTTAATAGAATTTGAACTTGTTTGATTTGAGTTGAGCCTTGTGATGAGTTAAGAAAGGTGTGAGTGAAGGTTTAACATGATCTTTAGAACAAGAGAGAGACAAAGAGGGTGTGAGGGAGACATGTTATATATATAACGTTGTCTTGGTTAATGAAAATATGCCCGAATGCCTCGAAAAACAGCTATCATCAGACATTGCATGTGTCAATCTAGTTGCCAAACTTTCATCTTATCTTCTACTACTACTAACTATATACTATGTACCATAGCCTCTAACATAAAAAAGCATCAATATAATAATCTTTTTCTCTTTCTCTTATGTTGTATGTGCATGAGCATTATAACAACCTAAGGAAATTTTTTATATAAGCAAATTTACAGCGAAAAAACATTTATGATATACGAAAGCATCATGCACAAGGTACATCAAAATCACTAAAAGAAATTAACGATAAATAATTTTAAAATTTCCTAGAATAATATAAATGAGAGATATTGTAAGAATGATAATTAATTAACACTTATTGTTTTTTCATTGGAAGAAGAGTACTGTATTTCTCAAACAAGACAGTCACAACATTTTCTTTAGTTTTTAATGGATATTAAAGTCTAACTATTTAATTAGAATTTGAATAACTTAACTAAGATATTATGCATTTGCTCTTTGATCAAGTGCTTCCACAAGAAATCACTATCACCATTCACTAAATCCACCACAGTATAATGCATATATATGTGTTAACATAAATTAACAAAAGCATGAAACTGAAAAGAACAGAAGGACCGTTACCTTGAGTTCGGAAATGCGAGATACCCAAAACCATTGTTCTTTGGTTGCTAAACCTGCTTCATGCTGCGCTGATATAAGAACCACCACAGAAAAACGAGGAATATTGCAATGATTCAATGAATAACAACTGCAAATGTGAGTCTTCGATTGAAGACACGACATGCAGTAGAACTAGAACTCGATAATTGGTCCAGAATATCTTCGTGTTCTACGTCGTTCTCTTCTTTATTGTGGTTTGCGTTGGTTCTCTTCTTTAAGTAACACGAACTCGTACTACTTTTCCGGTGGAAGTGGATGATAGATAGAAGTAAATTGATTCACCGTTTTGTTTTTCCATAAATAGAATAAAAGTAGGCAATGATGATGCATCCATCCATGAATTTAATTACAGTCTCAAATACACGTGAACATATACCTAAGTAATAATCGAAATGACAGACAAATACTACGAAAGAAGCGAATGGAACCAGAATGGCACGTTGGTTCAACTTAGGATCACTATTCCCTAGCTTTTGGTAACACGACAGTTTGGTGAATCTCTTGCTACGTACGTACCCGACCCACCCAAAAAAGCTAAAAACAAAAGGCATTAATCAAGGAAATTAACCAGACACAGCGATTGATAGATAGCGTTTCACTTACACCAACCATCCACACTGTTACTGTTACTGTTACATGTCAGTAAGGAGAGCGACCCGTTGCCCAGAACGTTTCCGAAGGCATCTGAACGGAATTCAGAAGATTCGGATTAAAGCCGTGAAAAAGAGGAGCAGTTGAATCCCCCAGAAGCGGCTGAGGTGTCTGCGCTTGACCCACCCCGCCGTTGCCGCCGCCTGGTGACCCAATCGAACCTCCCTGAAGCGGCATCGAAGGGTCTTCGTCTTCCAACGGAAGTCTCTCATACGCAGCGTTGCTGAACGAAGCTGACATGATAACCACAGGCCCCGAAGCAATTAGTGCGCCAACCACGCTTCCTCCTACTACCTGCCCTTGTCCTCCAGCCAGATATATCGTCAAACCGGTAGCGGCGGGCGGCGCCGGAGGTGGGAGGAAGGATCCGGCAAGGGACAAGATCTCGAACCTGCCGTGGAGCGTGACGATGGCGCCGGAAGAAGCGGGTTGGCGTAGGGTGACATTGGTGACGGTTCCGGTGCCGCTCATGATGCAAACGCCTCTCTGGCGGCGGCGTGCGAATGTGGAGACGCTCTCGACGATGTCGCAGCCGTCGGCGACTTCCATGACGTGCGTTTTGAGAGCGTTGGCGCTGTCGCGCGTGATGATGATGGGGGGTTTGGGCTTGTTCTTGGATCCGGCGGGTCTTCCGCGAGGTCTTCTTGACATCTCGGTTTCGCCGGAGCCGCCAGCTCCTCCTTCTTTTCCATCACTGTTATTGCTGTTGGTGGTGTTGTTTTCTTCGCGTTCTCTTTTGTGAGCCATGTTTAGGCCTCCGCTGCTTCTGCTTTGCTCGTCTTCGGTGTTTTGTTGTAAGGAGTGAAACTGGTGTTGGTGGTGCAGGTGGAGATCTCTTGCCGCGTGGAAAGGAGGTGAAAGAGAATGGGCGTGTGATGTTATAGGATCCATTGCTTCTCCTTTCTTCTATCTTTTTATTTCTATCTTTCTATATATGCAGCGATGAATATCTCAACCTGATGAGTGGGTACGTATGAGGAGCAGAAAGTGATTTGAATTGCTGAATTCCAATATACGAAATTTGAAAGTAGCAGCGAGGTTACAAGCTTGTTTTGATGGAAGTTAATTTAGATACAGGAAGAGAAGATAGAGGGAGAGATTGAAATTGGAGAGCGTGGAAATTGAAGTTGGTCTGCAAGATTGAGATTGCGGAAGAAAAAGAAAGAAAAGGAAGCAGAATTAGAAAGAAGAAGAAGAAGCAAATGCTGTGCAATGTTGGGTTAGGGTTAGATTCAGAAAATAAATGAAAAGTTTGGGTTAAAGTTTTAACTTATGGACGGTGATTGGTCCCCACCTATGCATTACACTTATGTTTAATTTTTTATTTTATATATGGAGAATCATCTTATTCTACAATAATCCATATTTATTTTTAAAATTGTATATTTGATTCAAAATTACTTAACAACTTCATGTTAAAAATTCTGTCTCTGCGACCCAAAAACTATAGAAAGATAAAAAGTTATTCATATAGCTGGTTAATAAAATATTTGTAAATTGTGAGTGAAAAAAACAAAGATCCTTCATATTTATATATAAACTATCTTTAAGAATGATATCTAAATTCTTCTATATATGTTATAATATCTATAATTTTTTCGGCATCTCTCCTTTTATTCATATATATCATTTAATTTGCGAGGCTAAAACTTTGATTTAAAAAAAAAAATCGAATATCAAATTAAATTATTAAGGGCACTTTTTCTAACTCAACTAAATCAACGTCAAACACTCTATCGTATCTAAAAAGAAGATATATCTGGTGAAGACATGCACACACCAGAAATCATGCTCAATTAGTTAGAAGCCCATCAACCAATAGAAGAATTCTTCATGTTATCTTATTTTATGATTGAAATTTTACTAAATGATACGAAAAGATTAGCTCAGAATCAGCTAGTATAAAAGTTTTCATACACTATTCAATTATGTGTAAATTTTCTATCACATCATTAATTAAACGTATACAATTATATAATGAAAGTCGAAGAAAAACAAAACCTATAAAACCAACTAGTAATTAATACAAAAAGTCCTGGTAATGGAAACGAAAAGATTAAGATCTGCTGGTGTTAGTATCGTGATGCTATGAAAATACAGAAGAATTAATAATAAATTGACGTGATTAAGTTTGAGTAGGTTTTGTTTGTCGTTTGTGGAGAACATCCACATCAGAAACGGGAACTACGGTCATATGTGGGAGATTTGATTTTTTTAATGAAACCATAGCTGGCACAATTAAAACTTAACTGGACTAGTGACATGCACACACACACAGTCTGAGGGTGTTTGTTTGTGTTTCAATTTTCTATGAATGACCACATGCACCACTTGGGTCTTCTGCAAAATTCCATCTTTATCGAATATATCTCAACCAAGTTCAACATCAAGGTTGAGCCTGTTCACCAGGTCCACCTCCTCCATGCATGACGCGTGCCTCTTCCCCCGTTTTTCTCGGGTCTACTCTCTGCTCTCTTCCTACTTTAATTTTACTCTTATTTCCCAAACTATCAATCATGTCATCACTCCATTGTTTTACCTTAATTGCTGGCATTAATTATATATATAATATAATCTATCGTGTCTCTTGTCCGCTTCTCGTTTAAACAGAAGAAGGGTTTGCGCCAATTCTTAATTATTAAGGATGCAGAGAACTATATATTAAAATATTAAGTGAAGAAGTTTAATACTTAACTTGTATTGGTGCAGGTTCTAATTAACATGATTGAATGGATGTAGTTGGGAAATTGATTTATTTGAATGGGAAGATTTAGAAGATGGGAAAGAGTTGCATGGTGTTGAAAATGCAATGAGAGTGAGAATGGAAGGGGGCACAGGGAGTGACCCACATGCACCACACTTTGGGACAATCGGCGGCTTAAGTTGAAACCTTTAAGGAGAGTGGAAGCAATGTATTTGATTAAATTATTACTTGAAAACTGAGATTAACATGCATGACATGAAACATTGGGTGCACTGCCACTGCCAGGAAATGATGAGTCTTACGAAAAGAAAGATAATGTAGATTGAGTAGTAATACAATGACACGCCTACGTGGCACTTACATTCATATGACACGGCCGACTTAATATTTTTTTAAAAAAAATTACAGTCTGGATTGAGGGTAAAAAGGGGAGAAGGTTTCGTTCTTGTTTCGGTTGTGAATGAAAAAAAAATTACTACTCTTTGTTTGAGAACCAACTTTGTATTTCTAAACCATAGCTTCTGCAAAACCCTCTCTCCCCACCCGAGCTTACGATCCCTACAAGGATCTCGATGCTCCAATTCGAAACCTTTACCACCTCCCAACCTCGCCGGAGTTCCTCTTCGTTGAAGAGGCCCGCCGAAAGCGCCGCTCATGGGGCGAGAACCTCACCTTCTACACCAGATGCGGCTACCTGGCCGGAGCCGTTGGCGGTGCGGGCTCAGGACTCGTTGAGGGCGTCAAGGCCTTTGAGTCCGGGGACACAATGAAGCTCCGAATCAACCGCGTTCTGAACGCGGCGGGACACTTGGGTCGGGTCTGGGAAACCGGGTCGGGATACTAGGGTTACTCTACGCCGAAATCGAGAGCAGAATCCAGGCGGCAAGAGATGCGGACGACGTATGAAATAGCGTCCCAGCGGGGCTCTGCACCAGCGCACTGTACCGGGCGGCGAGAGGGGTGAGATCAGCGGCGGTAGCCGGAGTGGTGGGCGGCGCTGTGGTGGGAGTGGCCGTGGCGGGGAAGCAAGCGTTGAAACGATATGTGCCTATATAAAAGAAAGATCATCACCCGGTTAGAGTGCGAAACAGAACCTCTAATATCTTTTAATTATATCAAACTTTGAGGGATAAAGAAATGACATAGATTACAGTGTTAGAAAATGATTGTAATAGTTATGTTAAATACGGTAGTGTTGATGGTAGTGACTGAGCATCTTTTGCAGGTTGCAGAGTATTGCTTTCATGCCATGTTTTTTCACTTTTACTATGACTGCAGATTATAGTGTGTAATTTATTGAGTCACCTTGTGATGAATATAGTTTGTGATGCCACTAAAAAAATTGTGATTCTTTTGCCTCTTTTTATGTGATGGGCTTTGCTGGATATGATTTTGAGTGAATACCAAACCTCATCTTGTGTTTCATTGGTTTGCTGGAAACATTTTGGACCGAAAAATCTCATTTTGAATGTGGTTTTTTGTGTGACTGAGATATCATATCAGAGTTCATTATAGTAAATTTTGTTAAACTTATGGTACTGCATAAATATATAGTTTCATCTGTGAGGGATGCGATGGAATTCTTACATAGATTAAAAGTATATTTTATTTTTCAAACCAATTTTATGAGATAAGTTAGACTTAAATTTACTATTATTACCTTATTCGGAAAAGATTGTTTGTGCCTCATCAGATTTTTGATGAATTTTGGTATCTTTGATGATATATTTTGCATGTTTCATTGTTTCTTACCTTCCTCATCTCTCATTGCAGCCTTGTACTTTGAAGGTATATTAGTAAAGTTGATTATGGCTTGTGATTAGTGATGATGTTTACTCTTTTATGTTTGAATATATGTGCACAAAAGAAGCAGTTTCGAGTGTCAAGAAAGTATTGTGGTTATAATTTATAAATGTGTTTTTGTTGAGAAAATCAATGGTGTTGCTTGGGTTTTTGATAAAATGGATTCCTAAATAAACCTACGGTAGGAGGGGGAATTTTATGAAAAGCTTGTGGCAAAGGTATCTATGTTCAGACTTTTTAGATGAAAGTAAAGCAAAGGTATCATGGAGATGGCCTAAGAGGAAAAGCATAATCTTGGATGTGGCAAAGGGGTTGGCCTATTTGCAGTATGGAGTTCAACCTATAATTTTGCATAGGGATATCAAAGCCACCAATTTTGCAGAGGGATATCAAACCTGCAATCAGTAGTTGGGGATTGAAGGTTTGAAAACAAAAATTAACAAACTAATCTATGTAAAACACTGTGCTGTTTGCTATATTAAAATAAAATTCTGCAGAAAAATGGTTGTTGTTTTAGAATAAAATTCTGCAGAAAATGGTGCTGTTTTGACATAAAAATGCTGCAGAAAATTGCTGTTGTTTTATACTACAATTTTGCAGAAACCTTTGCTGTAAAACCTCCATAAAAACTTTGTTGTTTGCTGCCAAAAAGTCTGTCTGTTAACTATTATAAATGCTGTAAATTCCTTGCTGTTTTTACACCAGAAAAGTCTTTCTATTGGGTTAAAAATCCTGTATAAAACATTGTTGTTTGTTGTTGTTTTGGCTGTTGTTACTATCGTAAAATCCTTGCTTTTTTAGTATAAAAGTGCTACAGAAAAAAATTCCTTCCTGTTTTGGTTAAGAAACTTGCATAAAAGACTCATTGTAATTGCTGTAAAATCACATGTACATAAGTTTAGCATTGACCATGGCTGTTGGATTAACGTGCATGAAATGTGATGTTAATAGATGTGGTGGTTTAAATAGGTGATTTATATATATGAAATTGACTGTTCGAAAACTGAGTNTAATGTAGATTATAGCACTTCAGTTGCAACAAGGTGTGAAAAAGAGTACTCTCTCCTTTCCCTTTTTAATCATGCAGCCACTCATCCCTACGTACCTTCACACAAACTAAATTTTACAAATTTAATATTACTCACAAAAAAATTATATAAAAAATAAAAACAGGTATCACCATAATCTTTATCCAATATAAATCTTATAACTGTGTTCTCATCGATCATTATTCCTTCACACTTTACGTTTTTTTCTATTTTATCTAGGGTTTCCTATTTTTTTTATTTTATTTTGAGTTTTTTTCGGTTTCTTATTTTTTCAAAGTTGGAATCGAATGGATAAATAACTGTCAAAGCATTCTGATAATCAATTAATTAATTATATTGATCAATTATCACAGTTAAATTATGTTTAATAAATGTAATCATTTATTTCTTTACCTCTGTATTTCAGAGTTAGTTTTTGGTTAGGATTCATTCGATTGTAGTCCAATAACCAAATAAGTATGCTTTATTTTATTTAATTATATTGAATTTATGTTGATGAGTTTAATACGTAAGTTACCTAATGATCATCTATATATATAACAGCTAATCGTTGAACGTGGTTTCCAAAGTCACTAGAAATTAATCATTTTTATGAGATAAATACACCGACGATGTATACGGTACAGTAACTAAACTTGAATTTTGCTTTATCAATCTAGGAGTGGTGGATATAAAATAGA